AGAGATAAGGTTTCATATAGTCAAGTCAAGGACATAAGTTAATTAGTAAGTTTTTGAGTTATAAGCCAAGTCCTTAGATGTGGAAATATTATTGTCACCCACCTGTATAGGTTATTGAAACAAAAAAATATATCGTAAGAACATCACCCAACAAGAGCAGATTATATAAGTATAACTTTAACACACTTTTTTTTATCATAAATCCTGAACACAAATTTCTATAAAAAATTTAAAATAAAAAATATTAATAAAATACTACAAAAACATTCTGTACTTTTAGTCTAAACTAACTCAAGTTAAAACTATTAACCTACCATGAATTTTACTAATATAACATTTTACATTGTTACTTAAAAGTAAAAGCATATATACTGGCCAACCTATAATCTACAAATCAAAACTACCTCAATTTGCTCAAGCCTAAGAACCACAGTACCTTACTTCAAGAAAAAGGAACTTCAAGTAAATATGATGCTTCGATTATATGGATTGCCCCAAATTTTCTATACTATGACAATAGCAGAAGATAAATAGACTCACCTTAAAGATATATTATTATCAACTAACAATGTGGATTCCTTATCTACTAACCGCCCATTATATGTGTACTTTTTTTATCATCACAAGCTCACCAATATATGCAACAAGCTATAGAAAAACAATAAACAAACTCAGTGAGACAAGTTTAAAAATTATTTTGAACGAGATGAATTTTAAAATAAAGACACTATACATACTCACAGATTTGCCTACACTAGCATAAAAATTGTGGAATTGATTGAAGCAAACACGATAAAAGCTGATTTGCTAAATCGAATCCAAGAACCTGAATTATACCACTTAGTTATAACCTATCAAGTTCATAGATTAATATCACATTTTTCATGTTATTAAAAATTTCTATTATCATCAAGTATTAAAATTTCTTTATAACTTGATGTTAATATTTGATTAATTAACCCCATACAGTCAATATAACATTTAGTAAATCCACTACGTGCTATAACTTTACTAAATTAACTCACCTTAACAATCCAACGTAAACATAGAGACCACCCAAACAAGTGCAGTGGCCCTTTTCAGGTGAACTTTGTAAGAAAGGTTTCTCTCAACTCTTATCAGACACAATATATAGAGATAACTGATCACTCAGGTATATATATAGAAGAACTAAAGAAGAGAACTGTTGGATAGTACCATATCATCTAGAGACTCTACTAATATGGCAAGGTTATATAAACTTTCAATATGTTACTATGATGGGTTTTGCAAAATATGTAATAAAGTATGTAACAAAGCCTAAACTCTCAGAAACTTTTGATATTGATGACCATGATAGTTATCAGACTTACATTCAAGTAAAAAGACTAGACGCAATAGAATTAATGATCTTACTACTCCAATATCAGATAACAAGATCGATAGTCTGCATTCAATATTTACCCTCAACACCTTCACACTTACGCACTAGATCAGTAAAACCTATTCATCTACAACTGAGAGCCCAGAAAAATGAAGACGACAAAGAAAAACTCTACTGGAAAGACGCAATAGATAAATACTTTGATCATCCTAATAATGATAAATTCATAAATATAACATACCTTGAATACTTCAAAACTACAACATAAAACTTACACCTCTACCCCAATCTATAAGACGAACTTGCACGAGAGACCAAAAAAATCATTACATAACAAAGAGAAAAAACCCCTACTTATAAGATTCGTAAATTACAAAGTAGAAGGTGGTAAGTTTAATATCCTCATCATAAGTCAGATTAAACCACAATACTACAGAAAAAAAAACATATCACATAGGAATACTTTGCAATATCCTAATAACTGTATACTTAATAAACTTTAGAACCACATAATTACTTAATATTAAATCAAAAAATAAAATAAATAACCACCATAACCACAAAAAAAAAATAATTTATTGTTACAATAACACATATTTAGGCAAACCATTTTTCTTTTAACATCTCATAATGAAAGTTTCATTCTATTTAGAAGAAGAACTACTTGAAAACAATCAAAGTTACCTCAAAAGATTCAAATCATTATTTCTCAACAAATACAAACAAAAGATAATAGGTTAACTAATACAACTGTATCAAGAAAACTCCATATCTCAAATGTTTACAAAGAAATAATAAAAGAATATTAACCAATTTAATTAATATAAAAATTCATGACTTAATTCTTAAGCAACTAATCTCATTAAAACATAAAACTCCATCTATCAACTCTCATTGTTCTTTAATGTTAGACCAAGACCAATATTTGATCTACAACATTCTTTGTAATTCATAGGGTCCAGAAAACAAAGAAAAATACTCTTACTTTTTTCTAATTAGATCGGCCAGCACAGGTAAATCATATCTCTTATACTTAATAAACAACCTCCTAAAATCAAGAAAAGTCAACAATATTATAATCACGCCAACCAGAGTAGCTGCACAAAATATTGGTGGTAAAACCATACATTCAGCTCTAAAAATAAAACAAACTCATTCACATTATGAGACTTTAATAGCCCAGAATCAAATCGCAAAAGAAAATTTAAGAAAAGTAGAAACTATAATAATAGAAGAAGTGTTCATAGTCTCTAGTAATTTACTCTCATTTATAAGTAATATATTCAGCTCAGTTTACAATAATTCCAAAATATTCGGGAGAATTTCCGTACTTCTAGTAGGCGATCTCTTTCAATTACCACCAATAAATGCACTATATGCTTTTTACTCACCTGTCTGAAAAAGATTCTTCCCCCTATTCCTAACCAACCCAAGAGACAAAGAAATAACCCCAACATCTATAATTTTCTTCAAGAATTATGATATGGCCACCTATCTGAAAACTCAAAAAAATGATCACTGATAAAATTGAAAACTCAAATCCAGACTACAATACTATTACCTCTACTCACCTCGTAGGCATACGTGAAATAGCTAAAGAAATTAACAAAATAATATGTGAAAACCTTCTGAACAATGAATACAGAATAAGCTTAATAACTTCA